GCGCGCTGGCACGTCGTGGTCCGTCGTCGTGGTCGTGCGTCGTCGCCGTCCGTCGTCGTCCGTCGTTTGTACGGTCGCCCGTTCGTGCCGCCGTCGTCGTTGTGGTGGTGGTCGTTGTCCTCGTTGAGGGTGTCTTTGGCTCGTTTTTGCATCTTGGGGGCCGCTTGGGGCCCTCGTTGGGGCCCGCTGGGGTCCTGGGCAGCGCCCTGATGGCCGCAGGCAGCGGGGCCAGACCCACAGGCCCAGAATCTCTCTGTCTTTCTTCTCTGCCATAAGAGCTTCTAGTATGGATGCGCGACAATGGGCTGACCATCGAAAGTGGTTAAAGATGGGCCGACGGGGCAGGGATGCAAGGGTACCCTTGGGAAGATCCTTACTATCCGTTTCGACTGTATCTCTCCGTCGCACTCCGTCGGACCGTCCCGTCACTGTGCCTGGACTATAGGTCCAATGTGTGTTGGATGCTTCTAGGGATCTCGTGACATCCATCTCGCCGTGTTTTGGGAGGCTCGAGGCATATTTGCAGGAGCCTCCCTGAGGCCTCTGCGGGCACGTCGGGAGGCTTTTCGGTGGCCGTTTGGGGGCTTCCTCAGGTTTCTCACGAGCGTCAAGGAGAGCCTTGGGGGCATGCCGGAGGCCGTTCCCTCCAACACAGCCCCCCAAGAGACCTCGCTGGGCGCTCTTGGGGCCCAGGAGTGTCGGGGTCCACCCTTTCGACCTCCTCTCGTTTCGTTCGCCTCTCGACGGCTCTGAGGCGAACGAAACGAGAGGCCCCCTCTCGTTTCGTTCGCCTCTCGAGGACGTGGGCAGTCTTGGGGGCTCGCGCCCCGTATAGAAACGTCTTCGGACCCTCTCGGGGCCCTCTGGGGCGGTCGCGCGCGATCTGGGAGGCTTTTTTTGGGGCTGGCCAAGGCTGGAGGGGCCAGACCTCTCAAATCCTTCCCAAGTCCTTGAAGCACCTAGACACACGTATTCCTTGTGCCTCTTGGGAGCTTTTTGGGAACCTCTTCGAAGCCTCTTCGGACGCTTGGACGGGCTTCTCGGCTCTTATGGGGGTCTCCTGGCGCGTCAGGTGGAGACTTGGGGAAGATGGGGCCTCAAGAGGGGTGCGGACGGCGAGTGCGCCGAAGACTGCCAAAAACGTTTAGGGTCTACATGATTGCTACATATGCAGAACTTGTTGGGGACCTCGTCTAAGTATCTTCGAGCGCTGAGGGTGGCTTCTCGAGGCCGTTTCGCGGGCCTTTTGCGGCCTCCTGGGTGAACGAGGGGTCCTGCTGGGAGCCGTACCACCACCTCAAGATACCCTCCCGAAAGCCCTCCTGGGACCCTCCTGGCGCCCTCCTGGGGACGTCTCGGGCCTCTGTGGGAGCCTCTTGGGCCGTCCACGGCTGGGAGAAGCTGTTGGCGCCACGCACACGGGGGTGGAGGGAGGGGGGAGGGCTTCTGAGGAGGAGGCTGCATCGTAGAAGGCGCTGTCCTTACGTCTATAAATCAGGCCCGCGCCTTCGAAGAAGCAGGGGTGCTTCTGAGAGGCCCTCCCCCCTCCCCCCACCCCCCTCTGCGCGTGGCCGAAGCTGGGGAAAACGAGAAAACTGAAGTCACTCAAAACCACCAGCGAGTTAAAGCTTGTTCTTTGGGAACCTCCCGGAGTTCTTCTTCAGGCTTTCTGGAGCCGCACCGGGAGCCCGCTCGGCCCTCTTGCGGCCGTCCTGAAATGTACCTGGATCGTTCTCACGTCCGGGCGGGGAACTTCCCAGAGATCCGACGCGCTCCAAAGCTCAAACAACAGTTGGAGCTGGCGGCTTTTGCCTATTCTCGGCCTCCGGGGGCCCTCGCCGGGCCCCGCGGGGTCGTTAACCAACGATGCAGGACGAAACGCCGGCTCTGTATAGGGAAGCGGCCCAGACCTCCGGGGCCCACCCATCGAAAACATTGGACCAGCCAGATGTCTGGGCTGGAGCGCCTCCGGGAAGCCCCGGGAAGCCCTCCCGGACCCCGGAGGCCGCGTCCTCCCATGCATGGCTCGCTCGGGGCCCCTGAGCCAAACCCCACCCCCCGGCCGGCGTCGTGAAAAAGTCACGGCGGCCGGTTTTGCCCTATTTTCGTCCTCGGGGGGCCCTCCCCGGGCCTCGGCACCGTCAAGAAACGGCTGCAGGACGGAAACCGGTCTCGGGGGATGGGTCGAGACCCCTGGGGGTCTCGCCGCGCGTGCGCAGGCTCCATCCTGGGAGTTTTGGGCGTCGCTGCATGTGGGGGCGATACATGGGGGGGGGAGAAATGTACACTCTTCGGGCCCTACATCAGGCCCCCTTTTAGGCCCTCCAGGGCACCTTTGGGAGCCCTACAGGGCTCCCTTTCTGCGGCTCTCGCTGCCCCCCCCCCCCATGTATCGCCCCCCCCCCCCCAATGACGCGACGCCCAAGGGAACCTGCCAGCTTAGGCTCGGGCCTGGGAACATGCACCACCAGCCATTCCCAGAAAGCCGGTTGTAAACGATACTTTTTCGTTGTTGCCTGCATCTCGGCCGAAACCTCAAATCGGAGGTTCCAGCGAGTGCTTTTTCTGTTCTCTTGCTTCGCCCACGTGCTACGGCGTATGCCATAACTGACTGACTGGTCAAATGTTTCAGGAGGGTTGAGGTGACAAGGAGGATGAAAGTGAAGGCAACTGCAGGAGAAACCATATTCTGGAACCTGAGGTCCGATGCAGAAAATGCCAAAGAAAACGAAGGGAAATGTTAAAGAGGACCGCTCTGTGCCGCTCAGTCTCACTTTTCCACGATCTCCATCCTCCTCCCCTCCTCCTCACATGCGACGACTATGGACGTCATCCAAAGACCTGGAGAAGTATCCAGGTCCGCGGCGCGCTTGCGCGCTTAGGTTCTGACGCAGGCCGAAGCGCTGCCAGGAGACAAGACGAAGGGCACGATGTGTCTTCTTCGGCGGCGAGCCCGAGGAGGAAGTGGGAAGGGGCGATAAGAGGCGGGCCTCCTCAGAAACCTCGGACCCCCCCAGCCTTCCGAGAAGCTTTCAAAGCCTTCCCAGAAGACGCAGCACAATTCTCAGGAGGCGCGAGGGCTTCTGAGAAATCCCGCCGCCTTCTGAGAAGGCCTTCTCCTCCTCACTCCCCCCCCTCGCTCGCCGCCGACTTGTGCTCGGCGCCCGCTGGCGCTGGCTCTGCGGGAAGCTGCAAAAGCGATCGGAGACCCGGGGGGGGGGGGAGAGGAGAAGGGCGGGGGAGGCGTCGCCCCTCCCCCTCCCCGGCCGGGCCGCGTGGGTGAGGAGCCGCTTGGATTTGGGCGTCGCGTCAGGGGTGCGATTCCTGGGGGGAGGAGGAGGAGGAGGAGGAGGAGGAGGAGGAGGAGGAGGAGGAGGAGGAGGAGGAGGAGGAGGAGGAGGAGGAGGAGGAGGAGGAGGAGGAGGAGGAGGAGGAGGAGGAGGAGGAGGAGGAGGAGGAGGAGGAGGAGGAGGAGGGAGGAGGAGGAGGAGGAGGAGGAGGAGGGAGGAGGAGGAGGAGGAGGAGGAGGAGGGGGAGGAGGAGGAGGAGGAGGAGGAGGAGGAGGAGGGGGGGGGGGGGGGGGGGCGAGGGCTGCAGCGAAGAAGCCCTCCCTGCAGGGCCCCGAAAAGAAGCCTTCAGGGCCCCATAGGGGGACCCTTCCGGCCCGAGGCGTGCACCCGTCCTTTCCCCCTCCCTCCCCCTCCTCCTCCTCCTTCCCCCTCCTCCCCTCCTCCACCTCCCTCCTCCTCCCCCCTCCTCCCCCTCCTCCCCCTCCCCCTCCTCCTCTCCTCCTCCTCCTCCTCCTCCTCCTCCTCCTCCTCCTCCCCCTCCCCCTCCCCCTCCCCTCTCCTCCTCCTCCTCCTCCTCCTCCTCCTCCTCTAAGCGACGCCCAAGGGATATTTCTCCCCAGACGCCCTGCTGCTCCAACTTTTTCGGTGCGCGGGCCCCGGAGGTCTGGGCCTCTTCCCTGGGGCCCGATTTTCGTCCCGAGTCGTTTTGTCGGCCCCGAGGCCCGGCGAGGGCCCCCAAAGGCCGAGAGTGGCCAAGAATCGTCAGCTCCAATTTTTGGCGGCGCGCAGAGGGAATAGGGGGGGGAAGGCTTCTTAGAAGGAGGCTGCTTCTTAGAAGGTACGGGCCTTGCATTTATAGGTAAGGCCCGCGCCTTCTAAGAACCAGCACTCTTCTAAGAAGCCTTCCCCCCTCCCCATACCCCCCTCTGCGCGCCGCCAGAATTTCTTTGGAGCGTCGGATCTCTGGGTCAAGGGCCTGCGAGATGATTCTCGGGGCCCCTTGCGGTTTCAGCGAATCGGCTCACTCGGCCAATTTGCCCAGAGCCTCTCGGCACCAGAGGCGCCACTGTCTTCCCAGTACCCCCCCTTCGTCCTAGCCTCTCCGAAGCCTTCTGGAGCATCTTGAAAGCGTCTCGGCAGCTTCCGAGAGGGTCTTTGGAGCACTTTGGGATCCGCGCCTTTCAAGAGAGCTCCCCCAAATCCCTCTTGGCTCCCACTTCGGGCTCTCTTGGGGCCCTCTTGGGGTCCTACTGGGTCCTTCCAATAAGGACCGTCATGGGCGCCTCGCAGACCGTCTTGGGGCAACACTGGGCCGTCTGGGGGCCCTTTCGGGATCCCTTGGGTCGTCTTGGGGCTATCTTGGAGAACACTGGGACCTTCGTGGGCTGTCGGAGGTTCGAAAAAGCGAGAGCACTAGAATCTTCCCAAAACCATTGGGAAACCATTGTTTTGAGGCCTGGTCCTGGTGGAGCACTTTGAGGCCGTCGTGGAATCCTCTTGGGCCCCACGTGCGCCGTCTGGGGCCCCTCGAGGCCGTCATGAGACCCTTCGAGGCCGTCGCGGGGGGGGCTCTGAGACCGTCCGGGGTGCCTCGTGGGCCCAAACAGCACCAAGAAAACCATAACCAACCCCCAGACCCAGTGGGGCGACATTGGATACGTGGGCCGCCCCCGGACCCTGGAACCAAGCCGCCAATGTGTGGGTGTGCGCGTGTATGATGCGTAGGTATGTGTGTATGTGTGTGCGTGCGCGTGCGACTCCCATGGCGTTCGTGTTAACTGCGCTCGAGCCCCTGGAAGCCGCGCTGTCGGTCAGCGCGGCAACGCAATGCAACCGAACAGGCGGGCACAGTCATCTCAGTCTGAATATACGCCTCACAGGGGAGTACTTGGAGGAAAGTGGAAATACCTCTTGAATCAGCGCGTTCCCTTCCAAATTCGCCGGCCCAACGGGCCAGAGGCGTGCTAAGATCTCCAGTAACTGGTTAACAATATTTCTAGTTCGCGCGCGCGGTGCGGTCCCTGGGGGTCCCCCGGCGAAAAGTATCCCGACCGCTGCCCGACCAAGTCTACCCAGAGATGGTTTTGAGAGCCTTCTTTCGACACCCCTCACGAGGATCGTGGCCTCCGAGGGGGGTGCACTCGACTACCCCGCCCCAAGAGGCCCCCAAGAGCCCCCCAAGAGGCCCAAGGGGGCCCCAAGACGCCGCCAAGGAGACCCACGAGACCCCCAAGAGGCCCCCAAGATGCCCCTGGCCCCAAAGAGGCCCCCAAGAGGCTTCAAAGGGGCCCCATAGAACGCTCGAGGGCCGGCGGAGTGAGCGAAGCGATTCAATAACGCTTCGAAGCCTGAATAGGTTGTCCATCACGCTTGCTTGTCCCAAGGATGACCAAAGCGTTGCCATCCCATTTGCCAGTCACCAGCACTTCTTGCCCATTTTCAGCAATCGTTTGGGATGGAACGTCTGTGGACATATCTATCTTTGTCTTGAACGTTTTCAAGCCACCTGCCATTGTGATAGTGAGCTTCTTCCCAGATTGCTCCAACGTGTGAGAAATCAAGCCCGCACCATAGTTGAAGGCTTTGGCCGTCTTCTGCGTGATCCAATCAACATCGGCATCGGCCATTATGCCAGACATATTGCCTTCGCAGCGATCTAACACCCAACACCCTAGCAGAGCAGAGTCCACTTCGTTGGACCATTGCTCTTCCATCGGGTATTCGCTACTTGTGTCTGAGTCTGAAGAGAAATCGCTAGAGAGACTTGACATGCTTGCTGACACGTAACCATTACGTGCAACCTCAATAACATTGAAATCAATACGGCGCAGCCAAAACTCACACCCTTCGACCATATAAAGCCCATTATCCTCATCAATCTCCGCTATGCGAGTACTCTTGCCCACAAGCCCAGGGCACATTTGCATCGTGAGGTTATTCTCCCGGATGACAACAGCAGTACTCTTACTAGGCTTCGAGAACAAGGTTGTCCTCAAAAGAACATGCTGTACGCGACGAAGGAAGTCCTCCTTCTGCTCCAGTCCTTCCCTGGCTTGTGCAACACCGGCCGCATTGAACCATTGTCGTCTTTGGAGTTCCAGGTCCAGCCGCGCCGTCTCAACAGACTGGTTAAGCACCTGAATGATCTCAACCTTCGCCCCCTCGAGTTCGTTCTGCACCGCCTGCAGCTCTCTCCGTGCGAGGCTCACCTTCGACAGCGGGCTCACGGCGTCAACCATCCCTCCAGCACTCTTACTGTCGGAGCCCACACATTCAACATCCTCCCTAGGCTCATAATAGCATGCCCAATTTCCGATGCGGCAACATGGCTCCCCCTTGTGTCGAGAAGGCGGCATGGCGGGCTGTTGGGCAACATGTCGAGCCGAACCCTGTGCTACGTACGGGCGGTTCCCGACCGAATCCGCGAGACCCGTGGGTCCACAAGCGTGTGAGGTGTTGGCGCCCTGCACGTACCAGACTCGGAACTGAAACGTTTGCGCGGCTTGGTGTGGAGGGTAGCGGTATCGTAGCACTGCCACGGGCGCGACAATTTCCGACCCAAGTGAATCCATCGAACAACTACCGACCATGGCAGGCAGTCGCGACATGTAGCAACACAATCTAGATCTGCTGTCCAAGCGACTGTTTGTCAACGCTTTCGCCAACACGCATTTTTACAGAGGGGCTGATTGCCAAAATCTCACGCCGTGACCTTGAAACGTGCTGTCTCTGTCACTGCTGGCATGGCGTGCGTTGGCGGTGGCGTCAGCATGCCAGGCGCGCGTGAAATGACATGCCGGCATCTGGCTCCACCATGAATCACGGCCGACAGCACAGCAAGGGACATCTCATCTGACCTCGGGGATTAGGTGGCTCAACGGATGCTTTGATTCCAATCCCCTGTCCCCTGGGGAGAGTGGCCGCCGACGCGAAACCGCGTGGTCTTCCCCGCCGCGGCTCCTTTCAAGCAGCCATGCAGATTTCGCCCTGCGGGAAGCATTTGGCGACGTGTGGGGGTCCAATTCCAGTTTTGTGCTTGTTTCCGTCATGGATGGTTGAGGCTCCTTTGATTTTTGCTGGGCTGAGGCCGCCCACCATCCGCACGGTGCAGAATGATTGCGGTTGCTCGTGCAGAATGATTGCGGATGCCGACGCGGTGCGTCACGCTGGCCACCCGCGGCCAATTTTCATAGTTTTGTGCATGCCCCTCTTGGGGCCCTTTGATGAAAAGCCTTGCAGACTCTGCGGGGCCCTCTTGGAGGAATCCACACCACCCACATGGGGAAACTCAGAAGTTGTAAGACGAACGATCCGGCAGGAGGACCCCACATGATAATCGATTTAGATTGCCCTTCGCCTCTTTCTTCTTCGTCTGACGGAGGTTTCCTTCCGCCCTCTCCGTCCGCCCTCCTCCTCCTCCTCTTCCTTTTCTTCCTCCTGCTCCTTCTCGTCCTAGCCGTTGTGTGTCTCAAGATTATCCTCTTCCGCCTCCTCCTCCCCCGCCTCCCCCGCCTCCTCCCTCTCTTCCTCCTGCTTCTCTCCCTCCTCGGCTCTTGCCCTGCCCTCCTCCACCCCCTCCTCCTCCTCCCCCTCCTCATCGCCGCCCCGCTCGTGCCTCTCCTTCACTCCTGGCAGGGGGGCGCGCGCGCATAGATTCTCCTCGGGGCCCCCGTCGCCGCGCCCGGCAGGGGCGCGCCCTCCGACGGCAACATCGCGCAGCCTTCGGGGGGGCAGCCCCGCGGGCCGGGCCGCCGGGACAACCCCGCGGGCCGCTGGCGCGTTCGCAAGAGCTCCCAAGCGCTCCCAGGCGCTCCCAGGCGCCCCCAAGCGCTCCCAGGCGCTCCCAGGCGCTCCCAGACGCTCGCAGGCGCTCCCAAGCGCTCCCAGGCGCTCCCGGCACGCTCCCGGCACGCTCCCGGCAGGCTCCCAAGCGCTCCCAGGCGCTCGCGGGCTCCGAGCGGGGCGCCGCCGCGCTCCGACGGGGGGCAGCACGGAACCCAGGCCTCCTGCGAGCTGCTCCGCCGGCCGTCGCTCGGACGTCCACTTCCTGCGTTTTTGTTTCGGTCTCGTGCGTGGTTTTTTCGCAAAATGATCAAGGATGCTCCTCGATGGTCCTCGCCGAAAGACAAATGCCCACGTCCGAGCGATGCCAAGTCCGCCTCTGCCCTGAAGCTCTCCGCTCTTGACGTCGAAGCCCAGGGGCGCCTTCCGCAAGGATGCCGGAGGCCCTCGCTCCAGGAACTGTCGCGGCGGCGGCCACGGGATCAGCGTGTTCCGCATGCGCGTGGCGCGGGATCACGAACACAACCATCATCAGCATAATCGTCATAACAAATCATCAGCATCAGCATCATCATAATCATCGTCATTGTCCTTGCCATCGTGGTCGAAACCTTTGTGTCTGTCATGAACTGTTCTGGCCCGTCATGGGGGGCTTTGGGCTTGAGTGGGTTTTTCATGTGGAGTGTCTTGGGGCCCCGTGGAAGCGGTCTTGAGAGCCTCGCGGGGCCCTCTTGGGCAGTCGTGGGTCCTCTTGGGTTAACTCGGGGCCCTCTTCGGCCGCTTTGAAGTGCTTTTGGGGAAGTTTGCAGAGGGCTTCTTGGGGCGTCTTGGGGAAGCACCCTGCGCTTTCGGAGGCTGTCCTGGGCGTCTCGGGCCGTCATTCTTGTGGGAGGGGGGGCCCTCTCTGGACCATTTGGGACAGGTCTCATGGGGCTTCACGGCGGGCGAGGGGGAGGCTCTTTGGACCGTTTCGGACAGGTCTGGGGGGCTTCACAGCGGACTCGTGGGTCGTCCAAAAAGTCCCTGGGGCCGTTTTTTCCGCCTTGTGGGAGCGAGCTCGAGGCCGGCCGGGACCCGTCAGGAATCGTTGAGAATCCGTGGCGCAACGCATGAGATTCGGCTCGCGGGGCTCCTTGGGCATGTCGTCGGCAGCTTGTTGGGGTGTCTTGGAGGCATACGGGGTGCCTGGAGGCTGTCTTGGGCGTCTGGAGTCGCTGTTTTGGCGAGGGGGGGCATCCCTGGATTGTGTGTTGGCATTCGGGGGGCTGGTTGGGCGGCTTCGGGGGCCCTCTTGAGGCCATCTGGGGCTCTTGGCAGGCCGTGTTGGAGGCCGCCTGGGCCGTCTCAGAGCGAAGCGGGAGGCGTCTGGGGCCGTTTCGGATTGCACCGGAGCTGGACACGCGCACACGTGAGCATCCTCCAGAAAAACCCTTTGTGAAATGAACGGGATGCGGCCCTGGGGGATCTCTTGGGCAGATCTTCTGCGGCTTCGTGGGGCGTCCTGGAGGCATCGCTGTCCGGAGGCTGCCTTGGGCGTCTTGGGTCGCTCTTTTGGCAAGGAGGGGCTCCCTGGATCGTGCTGGGCAGGTCTGAGGGGCTGGTTGGCGGCTTCGTTGGAGGTCTGGGGGCCCTGTGGGGCTGTTTTTGGGCCGTGTTGGAAGGTTCCTGGGCCGTCTCGGAGCGAACTCGAGGGCGTCTGGGGCCGTTTCGGATTGCACAGGAGCTGGACACGCGCACTCGTGGAAATCCATCAAAAATCCTCGTACAATGCTCGGAGTTCGGCGTATGTATGTATATATATACATACATATACACAGACATATACATATATATATATATACATATATATATACACAAGACTGCAGTGGCGCTTCGCGCCATGCACCTTGGTCCTTGAAGTTTGGTGTGCAGGCGGAATAGCAGGAAGGTCGAGCCGACAATTTAGCGATAACTCCTTGTTGCCTTTTCCGGCATCGCCGCTATAATAATGTTCTTCATTATCCTTCCTCCATGCTTCTTTTTATTCATTTTCGCCATAACCTGCGCATTCTCCCCCTCCTCAGCTCTTTTTTGCGGAGGCTCCTCCTTGGAGAGCCTCTGGGGGCCTCACAAAAGTTGTTTCAGGCTTTCTTAAGGCCTTCTGGAGGCCTGCTGGGCGTATTCTGGGGGCCTCTGGGGGCTTCCTCGGGCCATCCTGCCTCCAACCGCTCTCCCTGAACGACCGGGTCACGATTTGGAATGCTTCGGAGGGTGTCTTGGGGCCATCTCGGGCCGCCATGGGGCTCTCTGAGGGCCATCTTGGACCCGTGTTGTGCCGTTTTGGGGCTCTCTTGGACTGCCTGGAAGCCCTTTCGGATGGTTGTGGAGCGATTTTGGAGCCTCCCAGGCGGCTTCGGACGCCCAGAAAACCGCCGTCTTGGGGCGTCGGGAAACCGAGAAGAGGAGAACCCCAGAATTCACCAAAAACCAACAGAAAATCAATGGTTTGTGCCTCTTGGGGCCTTCTTGGGAGTGCTCTGCTCTTGGTGGTCTCTTTGGGGCCGTCCTGGAGGCCTCTTGGGCCATCTTGAGGTCACGTCGGTCACTCTTGGAGCGCTCTTGTCCTGTCTTGGGGGTCTCTGGGATGTCTCCGATGACCCCCCTGATCGCCCTGGGTGTGCTGGGAAGGCTTGGCAGAACGCCCTGCGAGGCCCGGGGGGGCCGCTTCGAGGCCCGTCCAGAGGGTCCCAAAGCCCCAGATCCCGGGAGTCCGTTTTTTTTGTTTTGGGGGGGATGAGGGGTTTTCCCCCCGCCCGGGCTTGTAAACATATAGGAAGAGGAATATGTGTGTATGTGTGATTATGTAGATGTAACTGCATATGCATACGTATATGTGTGTACATGTTTATGTATACAGATATATACATGTATATGTATATGTGTATGTGTATATATATACATACACGTACGCATCCTCATTCACCATCTCTCTCTCTCTCGTTCTCTCGCTCTCTCGGTCACCCTCGCTCTCGATCTCTCTATCTGTTCTCTATGTAATGTAAATTATCTCTCTCTCTCTCTCGCCTTCCCCTCCTCTCTCCCGTTATCATATCGCACTCTCTCTCACTCTCGCTCTCCCTCTTCTCTGTCTCCTCTCCCTCTCTCATACCTCATCTGTTTCTCTTCTCTGCCTGCTCTCTATTCTCTCTCAATCTCTCTGTCTCTCCCTCTCTCGCTGTCTATCTTCCTCCTTCTATCTCTGCCTCGTTCCCGTCTCCACCATTAACGCCCCTCCCCACTCCTGCTTTCAAACTCGTGCAACGAAGATGGTGGCGGCTTGCGCATTTAATGCTTTTAAACTTGCTGTACTTGCGGGTCCTCCGGGTTGGAAACCTGGGGGTCATATAATGTAGCGAGTGGGGTTGGGGAGACACGGGTGAGAAGTGAGCAGAGAGGAGGCATGTGTGTAGATGAACGAGCGCACGAAGACAGTCACTGAGACTGAAGCAGGGGCTTGCGCAGCAGTATGAATGAGAGAGAGAGAGAGAGAGAGAAAGAGAGAGAGAGAGAGAACAACAACAACAACAAAACAACAAGAGAGAGAGAGAGAGGAAAGAAGGCGAGAACGAGAGAGA